GATGGATGGATGTTCAGGCCCTACAATGTGATTACACAAAATTATCTGAATAATTTAGATATTAAGGCTATAACTGTAAAACATTATATAAAATACACATTTACCTGTTGTGATTAGTTTAAATTTCAAGGCATCAACAAGTGATAACTTTGGAGTCACCTTTGCCTCAAATGTTGGTTTTAAACCTCACATTAAAAACACAACTAAAAATCTATTTTCTTATTTAAACAACATTCTCAGAGTGCAACCAGTTCTCTTTCAGACCAATGCAGACACACTAACGCACACTTTTCTCCCGTGCAGGATGCACTGTTGTAATGTTCTGCCGTCTGTAGAAGTAGAAGGTTTCTCAATTCCAGCTGCATCCAAACTCATCTGCACGTGTGCTAACGAAGACCAGAAGGAGTAACACACATCACACCAGTTTTAAAGTCCCGGCGCTGGCCACCTGTCTAGTTTAGAATTGATTTTAAGATCCTTTTATTGGTTTATAAAACTCTTAATGGCCGTGGTCCCACCTAGTTATCGGATTTGCTTTTATCCCATGAACCCTCCAGAACCCTCAGGTCTTCTGGTAGTGGCCTTTTAATTAAACCAAAAGTCAGAACAAAAACCCACGGCGAGGCCTGCTTTTATTATCTTGGCCCACCTCTCTGGATCAGACTTTTCCTGACGACCGGAGGGGGAGCAGAGAATATTGATATTTCTAAAAGCAAACTCAAGACCTACTTTTCTTAGTCTGGCTTTTAATCAATTTTAGCTGTTTTTTTTTTTTCTAAATTCATTTATTTGTACCTTTTAGTTCACTTTATTTATTTTATAACACTTTTTCATTTTCGTATTGCTTTTTTGTTACCTTTAGCTCCACAAAGCACTTTGTGTCAGTGTCTATTTGTGAGAAAAGTGCTCGACGAATAAAGTCTGACTGATTAAAAAGGAGGTAGAACTGCATAAACAAAGTCAAAAGAAAGATAAAAGATCCCCCAAAAAAACAAACAAACAAGGGAAACTGAGTAGAATCAGTCAAGCGATCAATGCGTAAAAAAAGAAACTAAGAATGAGCGTGACTGGAGCAACATTGGGCAGAATTACAGTGAAAGAAATGAGGAAAAAAAGTCCTGAATTTTGATTTAAAATTACAAACTCTGAGCTGGGATTCAACAAATTCATTTTCTGATCACATTCTGTACGAGAAATATAGACTGTCAGCTGTGGGAATATTTTTTATCCGCAAACGGGTTAGCTAGCGTACATCGTGTTGCCATGGAAACCCATACAGAAAATGGATAAATATGTTTTTATGTTTGGTCCAGATCTGCTGCCAAGTCCATTTTACACTGCTGGTACGACAACTGAAAGATTAGAAAATTGATTAGTTTGTTGGTATTTGCAGCTTCATTTAAAAGTCGTATAGATTAATTAATAAGAGGATTTTCAATCAGTAACATTATTCTGACTTTGATTAAAGTAATTTTGACATATGCTCCATCTCAGACCTAAATGTGCTTCTTCACCATCATGTTTAAATGTATGAAGTTCAAAGTTTAATGTCACTTGCATTAAGAGGGCCCTAAGAGGTAAAATATACATGTTAACCTCCATTAATCAACTTTTATATTCTTCCTAGCTCTCTAATATAACAACCTGTTCGACTGGACCGAAGGAATTGACTCGCCGTCGGTACATTTTGTGCGTCAAGTGCCCCATTTTTACGGAAGCAGAGCCTGACGGATAAAACCTGGGCTCACAAAGAAACGCTGATAACCACCATCAAGGGGCTTTATCCCTGATTGGGGGTTTTAGGTTTTATCAAGCCATCTAACACAAAGAATTTCTTTTTAGTGCATCCCTCTGAAATTGATGGAAAATCTTGTTTATGGATGAAAGTGACCAGTCAGTCTACAGTAATGAAAAAAAACTAACTTTGCACTGCACAGCTCTCGGTACTCCCATCAATCCTGGGCCAGGCTACCTGCCCAAACACTGCTGAACATCGTGGAGCTTTCTGCAGCAAAAGAGTTTTTTCCCCCAGGAGTTTTGTTGAGTTAGTTATTAGTTAGCGAATGTTGGACTCCACTGGGACATAAACACAACTCCAAATGAACAATAATATTGCTTTGCGTCTGCTGGTTTTGTAAATGAGGCAATAAATGCGGCGGGCTACATGTCTGGCACGCTGTTTTTTGAATTCCTCTTCCCTCCATGTGACCAAAAAGTTAATCACAACCCGTTAAAGTCACCGAACATGAGCATAAAGTAGAGAAAGAACGCATAAAAAACGTAAAATTAAGGGCGGGATGCTGTAAAAGCTTCAGCCGTGTCACTTTACAGAATCGAGACGGTTTTATTTTTTTCCCCGTTAAAGCGCTGAATGAGGTTTTTCTGCAGGAGAGGTTTCACAAAAGCAGTGCCGGGAAGGAGATCCGAGTCGAGCGGGGGAATGGTTCATGATTGCCAGCATATCATCCACCAGACAATTGAACAGTCTCTTCAAAAACGGCAGCTGGGGATGGGGTCAGTTGAGCAGGTGGGGGGCTTCATTTGCATTACTTCTCCTCTTGAGCATTGCTCTATCGCATGTATCATGATTCATTTTAGCCGTACTCAGGTTAATACTCAACCTGATTTGATGGGAGGAAAAAAAAAAATATTCAGAGAGGCTTTTGGGAGCTGATATATAATGCTGTTAACAGCTGAGTAGAGCGCACGAGGATTATTCTGATTATCTATTGCTAATTTTGGAAATAAGCTCTTTTTTAATTGCTTTGTTAAAAATAGTGAGGTGCTCTTTGAGAATGCCAAAATAGACTTCTTGTTAGTATTCTTCATTTGCAGCCAGAGTCCTTGCAGTTCCTAATGTTGGAAAAAATGGTCAGTTCCATTGTGTTTTTCTTGTTTTAGTTCGTTAGCTCATAGCATGTAGCATTTATAATGAAAACTGAATTATCATATGCATACATAGAGAGAGAATACATTATTATTATTATGCTTAATGCTGAATTATTATAATTAATTATTTTATTTTACTTATTTATTGGACCATGGAAGTGGACAACTAGCACCATGCTAGCATCTAGAAATTATAAAACAAATGAAAATTCTTTAATAAGCTTGTCTTCTTTGTGGATATTATAATGTAAATATTGTTATAAAACCTCAAAAGTGAGAAAGTTAAGGTTAGTGGTCTACAGCTATGCTATTTCTGTGATGCTCTACTTAGACACATTAGTATTTTTGCGCTAAATGCTAATGCTAATATGTTAACAATGCTGTAGCAAACATGCTAATTTTTATAGGTATCACGTGTATCATTTTTGTCATCTTAATTTAACATGCTAGCATTCAGTTAGCCTATAAAAATGTTAGCTTGGTTAACATCAGCATTACCATGGATATCCACGCAAAACAGTTCAGGGTGAAAAAAAAAAAAAAAAAGTCTCAGGTCTAAAAACATACAAAAATTCTCAAAATTCAGGCAAAAATATTTTACAGAACTTAACTTTGGGTCACAGATGACAAATAAGTAAACTCAAAATCTGAGATGCTGCAGCAACATCACTAATTGACTGACGCTAATGCTAATGCTAATTAGCAGTAAGCACAGAGAACAACTGAAGTTTCTTTGGATGTATCAGGTTATGAGCTAAAGTAAAACTTAACCTGAAACTTTGTCCTTCAGGGAATATGAATGTAAACGTTGAAATGAAAGAGAAAAAGTTTGACCCTCTGTGGACCGCTTGCGATGCTAAAAAGAAGAACGAAAAGGACATCTTCTATTCGATAAGACATGTAAAAAAAGACGGATGAGTGTGTCTAAAAAGTTTCAAAAAGACTCCCACACACTGTCTAGCTTTCAAAAATACATTTATTCATGACTATTTGGTGCTAGACCTTTATCAGGCACATCATTTGGTACGAAGCGAACCCATTTCAAAAAGCTTTAATTCTGCCAATAATGAAAGCATGTATGACAAAGTTCAATGGCGTACAGAAACCCGCTTGTTAACAAATTTAAGCACATAATTCTTACTTTCTGTCTGTTCGATGGTTGCACAGTTGCAGCCGCGACCTATTGAAGATTCTCTTTGTACCAAACCATTGGCCTGATGAAGGACCAGAGCACTGAAATGTTGCAAATAAAAAATTTAATAAAGCAAGTTAAAGGAGTCTTTCTAAAGTAAGTGTGAGGAATAACATCAGCTTTATAAACTAAATAAGCAAAATTCATTTAGAATCATGTTTGTGTCCATCTGGTGAAGTAATTCCAGCATTCGCTCTTCTGGCAGCTGTGTTATATCTTGGGAAAAAAAACAGTTGGCTCTTTAGCTGCTACATCTTCCAATTTTATCAGCAGCTTGTCCTCTGTTTGGTACTGGGCAGGTAGCATACGGTGGGTTTGACTGAGATTTGTTTGCTGTGAGACAAAAAAAATAACAGTGTGCTGCTGCTGCTGGGAATGAGTGATGCAGCAAAATCTGCCGTGATTGAATTAAAAGAGCCTAAAAAGCTGCATAGAAGTGAAGAGTTGGTGACGAATCTTTGTGGTAAAAGCGAGCGACCCTCTTCGCGGTAGTCATGTGATTCACCGCCGATGTAAACAATATTAGTAAGTGGAGCTTAAGTGGTGTAACGGCAGCGTTCAGTGCTGCAGGCTGACGTATGCAGGTGGTTTACTGTACACGAGCGCTCTGACCTGGATTAAATTAGCACAAATGTGTGATTGAAAGTCATCCCACGATGGCGTATTATCATATGTAACGGAGCCTGGTGGATTCCTCAGGTTCTCCCTCTGTAAATGTAAGCATGTATAAAGCGAGTGGGCTCTCCTCATCCCACTCTGACTGCAATGAAATAAAATACCCTTAACCTCCATCTGCACACAGCAATAGTGAATAACGCTCAGGAGAGGAGAGGAAAAAAAAAACAGAAAAGCCTCCTACACTGTTGATGCATTAAGAGCCTGTTTGACTCGACCAGAACGGGATGGATGAAACACCCTCCTTATTCTCGAGGAGCCGCCTCGTCCTTTTTACGCGTTGAACGACTCCTTTGTGTTTCTTCTCAAGGTCTCTGAAGTCGCGAGTGAAGATCATGGTGGATGGAACCCTGCTCATCTCCAGGGTCGTCCCGGAGGATTCTGGGAACTACACCTGCGTGCCGACCAACGGCCTGCTGACTCCGCCGACCGCCTCCGCCAACCTCACCGTGATGCGTATGTTTCTGTAGTTGTGAATCATCACAACACATCAAACATCTCTAATTTCTTCAGCGTCAAAACAATCAATACAGTCAGCGTTTTTCTTTGTATACAGAAGCACAGTTTGTTGAGCGCTCTGTTATCTACACACATAGCTGAAATTACAACAAATTATTATTTTTAAATTGACACTGCTGTGCCTTAAATCTAAGGTCATACATCTAAAATAAAACAGCAAAAAGTGACTTAATACCAGGTTGAAAATCAGCGTTTCACTGCTGATCAGGCCTGACCAGGTGGGCTCTCTTGCAGTTGCAGACAGGTGATAAATTAAAATAAAAAGCTGACCCTTTAGACTCAGCAGTGAGAGCATCTGTCTTGTGGTGCTGAATAATTATTATTATTATTATTAATAATTCAGTTTATTTTATTACTTTTTTTCCACATGGAAGTGGACGAACTCTGGTTTTTGACAGCTAAAGCCATGCTAACATCTGGATGTTGGTGAATAATTAGGCTGTAAACAGAGATAAAAAACATAGTTATAGGACCTAAAATGTAACATGGTTCAGGCTTGTAGACTGCGGTCATGCTATCCCTTAGACACAGCAGTATTTTGAACTGAATGCTAATGATAGCATGCTAATATGATCACAATGTGTCACAGCCATTGTGTTTGTTGTCTTAGTTTAGCATGTTAGCCAATGAAAATGTTAGCTTTCTTGTGGTGTGGCGTGGGGGCCATTTTGTTGACATGCTTTGGGCCCACATATGACATTTCTATCCTGATTTACGCTTCCACAATCATCAAATCTCAACCTGATCGAACACCAATGGAAGATTTTGGAGCATTGTGTTATACAGCATCACCAAAACACCAAATGAGGAAATATCTTTTGGAAAAATGCTGTTTCCCTTCTCCAGTAGAGTTCCAGAACCTTGGAGAATCACTGCTAAGCTTCATTACACCAGTTGACAGCTAAAGTCATGGTAGCATGTAGAAATTGGTTAATAGTTAGCATGCAAAACAAATAAAAATCTCTGAAAGCTGCTTTTATTTGAGAAATTAAACATAGTTATACAAACTAGAAAGTGAAAAGGTCAAGGTTAGGAGTCTTCAGCCATCCTGTGATGCCGTACTTAGACATAGCACTATTTCGAGCTAAATGCTGATGCTAGCATGCTAATATGTTCACGTAGCAAACGTGCTAATGTGTTACAGCCATTATGTTTTCATCTTAATTTAGCATGTTAGCATTGAAGCAGCCAAGGAAAAGTTTAACAGTAGCATTAACAGTTAGCCTAAACATGGAGTCCCAGGTTAAACGTCTTTTCTGAATGTGACAATACAAACATTTCCAGGTCTGAAACATGTGAAATTGTCAAAATTCAGGCAAAAATATTTTACACAACATAGCTTTGGGTGACAAATGACAAATAAATACATTCTGAACAAATTCTGTGACAGTGCAGCAACATTACAATCTGAAATGACAACCCTAATGATGACAAATATGCTAATTAGCACGAAATATATAGCCCACATGAGGTTTTTTGGGATGTACTGGGTCATAAATGAAGATATTGGACAACCTGAGGGAAACATGAATGAACATGTTGAAAGACAAGTGAAAACATTTGACCCTAACATTTTTACTAAAACACTTTACATTGTTTTTTCCCTTTAATTTGTCACCTGTATGTATAACCTCCCCCAGCAATGACGTCTCTATGAGTCTAGCAAGGTTACAGCACCGAAGGTCAGAAAAAAAAACATTTCCAACAGCTGTTAATTTGCTCTTTAAGTTGAGCTAACTTTACTTCCATCACAACGGAAACTTGTTATGAGCTCATGGCATTGTAACAAATGTGTATTTTAGGCTTATCTGGCGGGAACATGCTGCTACTAAAGTCAGCGCCTTTAAATAATCCCAAAATACAGTGGTAGAAAATACAGGAAAAGGGGTTATCTTTATTAAACAGACAGACAATTCATAAAACAGGAATATGGTTGCAACAAAAGGTTGATGTGCCACATCCCAGCAGGACACATGCAGTTACTGCTTCATACAGCGACACACAAGGCGAGGCTCCCCGGGATGAAGCACACCACTCAAACTGGAGGCATTGCAATTTATCCATCAAAGTAACACTGTAAAAGCAGCACAGCAGCACCTGCTTAAAGTGGAAACCGTTTGAAGATCCCGCCTGGGGTGTGCACAGAATCTCACAATAGTAAAAAATCACCTAAAAGACACAAACATATAGCAAATAGCTTCAAAGGTGCACTTCCTTACCCCCAGAGGTCTGAGCATGAGACGCCTAACTAACACAGGAGCTACGGCAAACACACACAAATATTTAATTTAAGCATTCCTGTAGCTCCTTCACATCGCACTACAAACAGAATTGACAAAAAACTAACCTCGCGTGTTCAGGTGGCCATATTATAGATAGTAGGATGAAGGGGTTTTTGGCCTCTGCTCCCATGTAAGTCCTGCATTATTGGGTATCTGCCAATGCGGATTACGATTTACTGCTTATCTGATTAGCAAAAGGCAATGTTTTGCGCACTGCCCTTTGCTAATGAGAAGAATGAGTTAGAGTCGGAGCTTAGTGAATCCTCGTATTTTGCCAACCTCAGGGTCACAGCTCGGTGTCGTAAATCAGTTTTTACATTCATGCACTCTCATTTCACTTTTGTATGCAGCGAAACTCTCCATTGTGGAGGCTGGCGGTTGTAAAAGGAGAGACGTGCCGCAGCAGTAGTAGGTTAAACTGAATAAAACACAAGAAGAGAACAAAAGGGGAGTGTTGCAAGTATGTAAATTTAATTAAAATATGTGCGGATCGGCTCTGAAGCCAGTCCTTGTGATACAGTAATGTCACAAGTTATTTTAAAAATGTCAGCAAGAAAATGGAAACCGCCAACTTTATGTGGCAAAGGTTGACCTTAGGGGTCAAAGAGATATCTGCGTTTTTTGACATTTATTGTAGAGTGAAAATCTGAGAGATAGTGGGAGAAAATAAGTGAAAAGATTTAAAAGACAGCTATCATTTTTTCCAATGTCCTGCTTTCAGCTTTAGTCATGGCAGCAAGCTAAACTGTAGGAAAAAAGGTTCCCACGCTTTCTACAACTCAGGTGTAAAACTAGAAAATATGTTCCCCGGAAACTTTTCGGTCTTGTCTGTCTTTTGAATGCGAAAACAGGATATTTTTTGTTTTGTGTTTACATTTCCTGTTTTCCTGACCGTATGAAATCCATGTTAACGTTATATTTACTAGTGCATATATGCAAAATGTTGACATATGCGGAACAAAACAGCATTATTACGGTGGTTCAAATGATTTTTTATGGATTTTGATGGTGGGATTATTGCTGTTGACTGTAGTTTTTAAAAGAAATGCACATATTGTAGTATATATGATTGGAAATATTGCTATATTTAAAGGGGCCACATTATGCAAAATTATTAAAAATTATTATTATTTTTTTTAACATACCTACTTCACAAAACAAGACATTCTCCTTGTTCTTTTTTCTTTCTCCATAGATTTGCAACTGTGTCTTAATGAGTTGTTCAGGTTTGCAGCCTGTTGTGACGTCACAAGAGGATAATTAGCGCTAAAACCTGCCGTATTAAAGACACGGTGGAATAAACAGTCTGCAGTAATTTGAACTGAGACTTGAAAAACTCATTCTGGCAACAGACTTGTTAAAAGCGGGTATGATATGGGACCTTTAATCATGAATTGTGTCCTGTGTTTGTACAAATCTTTACATATTCGACTGCAAATACAAGTTGGAACTTTTATAGTGAAACAGTGGATTGACTGAAAATACATCTCAATAATCAATCTGTGAAGATGAATCAGGAGTTCGCGGCGCAGTTTGTACATTCCTGTGTGATTTCTCACTGTGATGAAAGTGTAAGCTGTGTCTAAACAGTGTTAGATATCACAAACTAAATGACTTTTATTTCTCCGCAGACCCGGCCAAGGCCCTTCAGATGCCCCAGGAAACGTACCTCCCCACAGGTATGGACGGTGTGATCTCCTGTCCAGCGGCAGCTCAGCCTCCGCTGCTCCGCGTGGATTGGACCAAAGATGGGGAACCTCTCGACCTCTCCTTGGTAATAAAAATAATCATTTCCAGATGGAGCCGCGTTTCCCATGACGCCGCCCGACTTTGTGCCTAAAAACTCATATTTCCGCGCCTTGTTTCGTGGAGGTCAGCGCTGCTCTATTTATCGATTTCTGACACTGCGGACCTCACAGGGGAACGGTGGCTGAAACCGTTCATTTTCTTGTAGCAGAGCCATGTCCGACACCGCTGCAGGCGTCTTCCAAGCTCGGCTGTCAGCGGCACGTCATGCAAAGGCTTTTTTAACAATAAGCTACTCCAACAGCACAATTTCCCTGCTGTCACAGTCTGCATAGCTGTAGATATAATCTAAAAGTACAGAATGTATGTCTCTCTCTCTAAATATATATGTTAAACATTTTAAAAGGGTATTTTCTCTGTGCACTGATAGCAATACCCTCTCAGTTTCCCAGGTGCAAGGCCATTCAATCACATACATTTTAATGGATAGGGGTAATGTGTTCAATCTTAAAAGCTTTGGAAGCAATCCCCAGGGAATCCCTTACTGCCCCTCGCACTCATTTTTTCTTTCTTTTTTTTTTTTTTCTACTTTCACTTCAATCTACTGCTCATCTCATTGGAGAGCTGAGTGCCGGAACCATTACAGATGAGGAGGAAGGAGTGGTGCAGCCCAGCTTTTTCTAACCTTTGTTCTCAGGGTCAGCGAGTCATATTTCCACGCTTTTGTTTTTTTTTTCTTTTTTCAAAGTGACACCCGGAGGTGGCAGCTTTTTTAAAAATCGTCCCCTTTTTTGTTTTAGATCCACCCACTTCCTTCTCCTCTCACATCCCCACGCCGAGCCCCGACCCCCTCCCCATCGTTTTGGTCTGAGCGATGGACATGTCGGCGAATGATACGCGCAGCAGGAAATGTGATAGATTCCTGTAGTGCGGGACACGGGCTCTGGAGTCAGGCTGTTATTCTGCCAATTATTCCAATTCTACCGCGGATGTCACAGGCTCTCATAGCCACAGTAATACTTACTCACAGCGTCATTCTGGGGAGGATAATAGCAGTTCTGACTTCATTAAACCGAGTGGGAAACCTTTTTGAGCGGTCAAAGCACCACACATGCCTTCTGCTGTGGCTTAATGGAAAAAAATGACCCACAATTTTATTTTATTTTTTATTTTTTAACTGCTTTTAAAGCTTGAAAAAGTGATTTTTTACAGAGCTGGATTCATAAGGAGGGGGAGAATTTTTTAAAAATCAGCTCTTCTAATCAGAATAACAGAAGATCACATTATCTTTTCCATTTATTTTAGATATCATCACACAAAGCTGGTGTCGTTAATAAATAATGCGCATTTTTTAGAAGAAGTTTGGAAGTAATCTGCCCGCTGGGGATTTAAGTACTTAACTACTGCAGGACTGTGGCAGGCAGATATCAGACACATTATTTGTGTAAATCCTTCAAACACAGCTGAGGAGCTCATATGTTGCTTAGGAGTGGTTACAGACTACTCGCCTTTTAGCTCTTTAAGCTCTCTGCACACTTCTAGCTCAATATATACATACACCAATAGCGTTAAGTGTCATTCAAGCTCAGTTTCCAGCTGTCAGAGTGATGTGAGAGTCGTGCATTTCTCAGTATCCAGGATGGACCTTGAAACCGGACGGCTCTTTGTCCATGGCCACGGTCAACGACGATGCAGCCGGTGTTTATACGTGCACTCCCTACAACGGCTACGGCAGCTTGGGCTCATCCGCACCCACCAGCGTCATCCTACAGGTGAGTGAGTCACTGCATCACGGGAAGCCATTGTAATCCTCAACATTAGGCAGATTACATTTCACGCGCCACAAATTGTCGGTCATTCGTGGCCTGAAAGCTCACAACCTGTCTTTCTAATTCTGCTGAGCTGTCTATCTCGACTAATGCGAGTGTATTTTAAGTAACCCACAACTACACGTGTCACCGCGAATTAAAAACTTAACCTGAAAGACATTTTATTGACCTTTTCACTCCGAAGTGTGAGCCCTGTGACATTAATAGAAGTCAACTCACACTCGTTACAATGGTGGCACTACTGGGGAGTTAATTGTGTGGCTAATCCTTTTTGTTATTAAGATAATCTGTTCCAAAGCGGCAGTAATCCAGTCTTAAAATTCATTGTTGCCATTGCTCGCAATCTGCTTGATTCTGCCATGTTGCTTTTTGGTGACAATTCGCAGGACCCGCCGTCATTCAGCGTCACTCCAGAGAGGCAGTACAGAGAGGAGGCCGGTAGAACCCTGCTCGTCCCCTGTCAAGGAAATGTGGACCCGACAATTAAAGTGACCTGGAGCAAGGTAGAGTACCCGCTGCAGCTGATTTAACCAACAAGCTGTCCTGTCTTGTTTATGTCACTGCAAATGCTTTAAAAAAAAAGTTCAGTTTAATATTTTTTTCTGATCTTAACTCTTGTTGCAACAGGCCAAGTCAGAAATTCAGACAAACGACAAACATTTTTACATACAGTTCCAACTAGTGATCACATAAATGTGTTATGTTGGCATATTTTCAGTTGTTTTATGGTTTTCCTCGTGCACTTTTCTAAATGAAAAAAAAAACAAAAGAACTTCCACGTTCCAATCCTGCGTCCATTTGACTCACCATGACTCAGACTGCACTCTGGGATTTATATATAAATTCATCCAGTCAGATGTGTTTCTGGGTGACGGGGGCAACCGCTCCCATCAACTGCACTTGACCTTAGCTGGTGGGTAGTAGTAGCTGGCAGAGCCGTAGCATGTAGGAGGCGTGTGCTCGCTTTGATAGCACTTGGCAAAAAACTTTGTTTAGGTTCCCAAAGAAGTGTGTTCGAGGTCTAATTTATTCATTTTCTGCCTCTTTCTCCACCTCCTCATCCAAGGACATGCCCGGAGGAAGTGTGGACTGATGCAAACAGATGTCGTAGTCGCTTAGCCAAGTCATCAGGGGCCTTCTGCTCAACCAACGCTGATTTGCTTGAAACTTCTTTAAACTTTGGACATTTAAAGTGGTATCTGTCAAATTTTAGATTGATGTATCAAAGACTTTCTGAGTTGTTTTTTTTTTTTTTTTTTTTCCAAATTGACATTCAACCCACTTTCAGCGTGATCTCTTCTCAAGTTTTACCACCAAATAAAAGCATTGGTGGATAGTTTCATCCAAACAAAACAGAGTTCTTGAGTTTTGAACCGTTTCTCTGAAGGGAGTCTGAATCAGTGACACAATGAGAAATACCAGCCAACATTTCAGGCTTTTATATCTAGCAGTTCTTGAGATCATCCAAACAGCCTCCAATTTCAATGTGTGAAAAAATGCGTTGAATGTGAGTTCCCAAAAAGTAATTAAGATATTCAGCTAAAATTTCACAAATATCTTTATAAATACCCATATTTTGTTTGATAAAAATTTAAGGCAGATCAGAGATGGTCGAGCAGAAACTACTCTAAAAATGAAATGACCCCTTCATGGTACTAAAAACACCATATAGACATGTTAACAAGAGGAAGACCTTATTCTAGTGAAGGGGGTCTTTAAATAAATTACAGACATAAAAGTCGTGGTATCTGCTGTTGCACTGCAAGCGTGAGTACTTCACGAGGAGACGATGAAGCGGAAACCCCATTTAACCCACTGAGATCAGTGTTTTTCATCCATACTGAGCAGTTGCTCTAGAAATTAGGACACTTATTTTCGTCATGAACTCACCTGCTTCCCAAATTAAACTCTGAAACGCCACCAAATCAAGACTTGCAGAAACTGTGAGCAAACCCTGAAACCTGTAAAGCAATTCTTTAACCTCCCTTTTTTTAAATTTCACTTGACATCTAATCATCTGGATTGTAGAGCCAAAATAACACTTTCTGAACTGAACAATTTAACTCAAAATGCACCTCGATGCCATAAATGTAATAAACGTTTTGCAAATGGAGAAATTAAACATATTTCTTGACTTGTGTTGGATTTGTCGTCTGATTGGGCTAAATGATTCGCGAGCTGATCACTGAATACTGCATATTTAGTTGCGTCTTGGTGTCTCCGGTAGGTGGACGTGGTCCGCCGCATCGCTTACTCCATCGAGCCCAACGGCTCCCTGCTGCTGCAGCCTCTCCTGAAGGACCACCAGGGGGCGTGGGAGTGCAGCGCCTCCAACCGCGTAGCCTCGGTGAAGGCCAGCACACAAGTTTTTGTCATGGGTGAGTCCTGCGTGCCAATAATATACCAACACAGCGATTACATGAGCCGTCCACACTCTTGCTTCTTCTTCCCAAATTGTTTTTCTGTGTACCTGCGCGAGCCTCTATTATACCCAGAGCGGGCCGGATGCCTGTGCCTCCACTCCGCCTCCGACGGATAAATGTGGTACATCTAGAGATGGCCTCTAAACTTTTGCTGTATCAGGTAGTTGAAGTGCTGGCCGATTTCCATCAACTCCTCTCCATTCCCTCCATTTACAGGAACCAGTCCCCATGCGGCTACCTCTCTGTCCGTCTCTCCAGGGGTGAGGCAGGCCAACATATCCTGGGAGGCAGGCTTTGATGGAGGATCAGCACAGACATTTTCAGTTTGGTGGGTGTAAAGCCTCCCACTTTCTTCTCGGGCTGTAACCATGGCAGCCATCGACAGCAGTGGTATTACTCTATTGATCTCGAGGATGAGGAATTCATTTATCTGTTATCACTTCTTGGCAGCTACAATAAAAAACGCTGCTGCAGAGCATAACTTTATAATGCAGTGGCCATGCTAGCCACAATAGGAGGTTACTGACAAAGGAGAGCGTAATACATCTGTTTCTAGTGAATCAGCACTTTTATATTGGCTTAGAAGTCACAGATGAATGTATTTTGCTTCCGTGAAGAGTTAAGTGTTTTTGATATTGTTGTGTTGTGATGGACAGGATAAAAAGGACAGAAGAACTGCAGCCGCTAAAAGGATAAAAAGGATAAAAAAGCACAGGAGCACATTTAAAGCAGCAGCCTTGTATCAGAGTTTGAATAAAAATAGGACTCACTACTCATATACAAAAACTATATTTAGATTTTTGTTGGAGAATGCAACTGAAGATGCACAGAAAACTTCCCCTAATGCTTATGTCTTAATCACATTGTAACCTGGAAGCGCTACATCAGATGGAGACGAGATGAGCTATCTTAATCCCTGAGAGGGAACTGGGTCATCGCTGCAGCAAGGAACATAGAAATAAACATAAATTACATCAAAAATGGGTAAAAATAGATCAGCCCATGTAGCCGATCAGCCAATCAGCATAAACAGCTTCTGACATGTTGTGACCTTAAGTTATGGAGTGAAAACAGTCGATAGGGAGGACAACAGGTTCACTTTTTCTGTACTGTAAGAACTTGAGCAGAATCCAAGAGGCGGGCTCAACCATGGACACAAATACACAGATAACCATGATTCCTCCAGTTAACTTTTGAACCAGGCACAGGCAGATTATGGGCAATGCTATTAATGTTTGGCATTTATCAGATTATCGGTATCTGTATTTTTATTGACCAATTATTGCTCATTTAAATGACTTAAGGTTAGATGCAGCCTCCTGTCTCTGTCTGTCATCACTTTGTGGTCTCAAGCAAAACACAAGACGTCGCCGCAAACTAGGAAATTAGTGTTTCACCGGTGGTGGCTGGTGAGGAGGGGGGGCGCAGTCTGCACATGACCTTTTATTTAAAATCAGAAAATAGAATATGACTAACATCAGGCACAACCATTTACAGGAATGGAAGATATACTATACTACTTTTGGAGGATATTCTAATCATAATGTCATTTAACGTTATCAAGAATCACCAGAACTAAATTTCAAAACCATTTATCAAACTTTCAGCAATGTTTACAGGATCTGTACAAACTCAACATAAATAATGAAAAAAAAAGAAAAAAAAAAAACACGATTCAGGGCTCCAGACTGACTTTTTCACTGGTAGTACCAGTACGACCCACTTTCTCATTTTATTGCACCTCCCACCTGGTCAAAGGTAAAACATATGAGTTGCCGAACATTTTCTTATCGATAGACGATTTACTGATGTTCCCTGAACGCCCCACACAGCAGGCTGTGCTGGCGGCTGTTTGGTGGCTGTGGTGCTCTGACCAAAAATAACTTTAAAAATAATAAACTAGGGCGTTCTCATGTCAGATTTCCGAGGTTAAACCGAGTTACATGAATTCTACATGTGCTCTTTTCTACGAGCAGTCTTTTCTCCACTGACAGCAAGCAAATGCATTCAGGTATCAAAACAGTAGCTGTGATCTAGTAGAAGAGGAGGAGGGGAAAGGCCATGAGATTTTTTTTTTTTTTGGAAAGGCCATGAGATGGTGTCAGGAAGCGCAGTCGTAAAAACGTTGAAGGACAGTTTTGATATCCAACCACAGAAGACAAAAGCAAATAAAGACTAAATTAACTGGCTTACAGCAAAAGTGGGCGGGTCCGGGACGCACCGAGCTGCGTCCCGTGAGAAAGTCTGCAGCTGCCAATCAGAGCCTGGGCCGAGGTCACATGATCATGATAAGTTTCTCGAGCTGCATACACACTGATGTGGCCGCGTCCCGCATCCAGGAAGTGTAAAGTTAGTAAACATGCAGTAAAGACTTACAAATGTTGTTAATATATCAAAAGAATATAAACGTTATTATTAATTTTATTATTGTTTTGTTATAATTAATTACAATTGAATTTTACGTTTGAGAACTACTTTTTATCTGGACATTTGTAGTGGGAGGGCGGCGCCCCTTATTAACCAGCCACCCCTGTGTTTCACACATAGCTAAGGCTAAGCTAACGGCTAACGGCTAAGTTAGCAGGCAGCCACAGATTATTGCCCTGAAACAGAGTCTGGAAAACAATAATTAATAATAATGCTTTGAGATATGGACCTCAGTGGGCTATAAATATAAGAGACAGAGAAAGATTAGGAAAATCAAGAAGAGCAGACAGAGCTGATCAATCTCAGTCAATGCCAGATAAACAGAGGAGAGCCTCCTGATTTATTCAACCCTGTTTCTATTTTATGTATTCAGTTTTAGTCACCTTTATTAATAAAGAAGCCTCGTTATGAATGACAGGTTCTCTGCTGTCACAAGCACTCCATTTGATGTATGTTGGTTCTAAATATGGGTTATCGGCCCTTCTTGAGTGCCAACAATCGAAACAAACAAACCCAACAAACCCATGGATCCCTACTTTGAACTGTGCAAAAACTCGGCGCTGCTTCGCCCGTCTCGCTCTGAGGCCACCGCCGCCGCGCCGCCCACTTTAACAGGATGTAATGTGAATGTTCTGCCATTGACATTTCAACTCGCCATCTCCATTTGTTCTCGCGGAGGCCAAAAAAATGAAAGCGGATAGGTCTCGCTTGCACTTCCATCAAACACAATTCCAACAATGACGCAGTTATTTGGCGGCTGTGAAAGCTCTGTGGGCAAAACGTTCACCCCCCATACGCCGCTATGGAACAGAGAAGCCATCCACATCCGCAGAGCGCTTGTGATGCCTTTAGAAACAGAGCCCTGCCCTTGTATTCTGCAGTTCGTGCACTGTAACGTACAGTATCTGATTCAAATTCCACTTTAGCATCTAAAAGGGACAATTAAGCGCATCATGTTAATGTGGCTAATACCCGACCCTTTCCTCGCTTCTCGTAAGGCAACAAGCTCGGCTGACTCATTCAGTTGAGTCGAAGCCACCGTCTTCAAAAAGGTCTTATTTTGAGACTGACATTAATAATTTTTTTATCCAGTATTGAATAGGTGAAGAGTTTTTTTCTTTAGCCTCAGGGTCAAGTAATTTGCTCCGTCTAAAACAGACGTGTAGAACCTCAGCTCGGGTAGGAACATGAAAATCACCATAATTGGAGTTGCAAGCTCTCGCTGCAATGGGAGGGATACATCAGTGCTGTCTCTGCCACAAAATCTGGAGCTGATGATGAGTATGAATGATTAATGAAACCTACTTTTCTGTCATGTTTCATAAAACCAGACTCCCAGAATTCCCCGCCGCTCTTTTGTTCTCACATCGTTTTTCTCTCTCCTCTCTCTGCAGGGTGAAGAAGATTTCAGCGAGTGATAATGATGGGAAGCAGGACTGGTTCTCTGTGCCGGTGCCCCCCTCCTCTGGTACCAGCCTGCAGGTGACAGGCCTGTCTCCTGCCACCGGATACCAGTTCAGCGTCCTTTCCCAGAATAAAATGGGAACAGGTCCCTTCAGTGACATCGCCACTGCGAGAACTTTGGGTCAGTAGCATCCCGCAGTCTCCTCCACATGGGTCTGTAAAGCTGCCATCCACAGGAAACTCATTTTAGTTTCAAATTTGCAAAATATCATCTTTAAAAATAATAAAAAAAGAAGTCACCAGTTTGCTACTCTTTTGCAGTCGCTAAAAAAGAGCAGGCTTCTTATGTAAAGCTTGTGCTCAACTTCACTTTCACCAGCTGAAATGACAAACATTGCCAGCAGCGTGTAAACAGCAGCTTGAGCTAATTAAGGTTAACTTTCCCAAAGGTCAAAATGAAAAATAGCTGTTGCACGGTCAATATGCTTGTCTGCAATCAGCCACCGTCGCTGTTTTTTTGGCACTTAAAGAAGCCTCCTCAGTGATGTAACCCTCTAAAACCTGTCATCGAGGTTTTAAAGGCACATTCCCCTAAAAAGCTTCTAAATAATTACACCATTTGTGATGGATAGAAACTGTAAAAACAGAAGGGATCGTCACATTTCTTCAACTAACCCTGTGTGTTGGGAAATGAACCAAATCGAAGCTTGAAAATCTGGATATTTCATCAAAATCACCGTATTCCACATGTCTCCTTTGAAATCTGCCAAAACAAATCATTTGCTCTTCCCAAATTCTGTTACAAAAATGCAAAAGAATTTCAGCGTTTGTCTGCACAGCAATCACTGTTTTTGCAAGTCAAGAAGCCTCCTCTGTGGTTTAGCCGTCGAAAATCAGCCATCGAGGTTTTAGAGACATGCTTCCCCTAAAAAATAAAAAATAATTACACCATTTATTAGAGCCAGAAACTGTAAAAACAGAAAGAATGCTCCGATTTCTTGAACTAATCCTGCGTGTCGTGCTCTTTAATTGGGAAAATTAACCAAATCGAAGCTTGAAATTTGGATATTTTGTTAAAATCACTTTAGTCCAAATGTGTAGCTGTGGGAAAATTAACAACATCTAGCTTATAGTTGTGTGTTCTTGCTTTTCTTCTTGTCATTTTGCTGCTGTGATGTTGCAAATGTCCCCTTTTGGGATTAATGAAGGATATTTTATTCAATTCAATTCGATTCAAATCTGGATATTTTGTTAAAATCTCGTTATTCCAAGTTTCTAACTTTTGGAAAATTAACAACATCGAGCTTAAAATATGAATATTTCGTCAAAAGCTCTTTATTCCGCGTATTTTATTTAAAAATCTGCCAACAAAAAATGGTTTCATCTTTCCATGTTTGGTGGAAAAAGAAGGAAATGATGTGCTTTTCTGTGCAACCATGAAGCAGTTAGAGACTCAGCTTTGGCAGCTTGTACATCACAAAAAAATGAAAGAGTTTTCAGTTGAACTCGGCTGAACTGCAGACAGTGTTTGCACCAAGACGACAGGAGGAAAGTAGAGAAACCAATTAAAAATGTGGGTAATATTGGTACCGCTCCTGGGAACACCTGTGACAAATGTTGTGCATGTTGATTCCGGTTTTTCCTCAATTTTGGTGAAACAAGTAATCAAGAAAATGAAACCTTCTTTCTCAATTTGTTTTGTGTGAAACTGCAAAGACATTTCTGAGTTCTCTCTACTTCTAGTCATGGCTGTGCTGTTTCCATAGTGAGGAAAAAGCCCATAAACGTTCACATTCCATCTCTAAAGTAAAGATCATTTGCAGCCATGTGCATGTTCGGAAATAAACTTATCACACATGTCCATAGAGCCTAATGACTTGATTTAAACATGCATGTGAAGTTACAAATATCACACATGCATTGTCAGGAAAAAAAGCACGTTAGCATTTATCTCAGAAAGCTGCAGCACGACTGTCAATCTCTGTTGTGTTCAACCTGCCAATCCAGCTGCACGTTCAAAGGTGCGTCTGCTCTCAATAGTCTTCACAGGATGATCAGAATTTCACTCCGGGCAAAAATCAACATTCTGATCCGACGTTTTGCACACCCGGTGGCGCTGCTTTATTCGCCGCTTTGCTCCTTTTCTGAACGTATAGCACGTTTAGGTCGCTTTAACCTGCTGAAGGCCGGGGTTGGCGATGGTCTGTGGAGATGCTGCTGCTAGAAGCATTTCATCGTTCCGGGTGGAGAGTAGACATCTGAGAGATCATGAAAATACCTTTGAAGATGCAATCGGCTGCTGGATGAGAAGCTAAAAAAAAAAAAAAAGATTCAGGTGTTTGTTTGTTTTTTTCTCCAGAAAGGTTTGTGTTGGGAGCAGTAGGTGAAATAAACTAGATGATGTTTCAGAACTTTGATCGCAGAAGGTGTAAAAGGTAGCATGACAAAAACATCAAAGTGTCCATCCAACTTATTTTCCAACATCAACCTCACCCATGTGGCCAATTTCCTCCACTGTGATTTAATTTTTACGCCGAGGATGTATCCGGCTGTTTCGACTTGAAGGTCTTTTCTTATTCCCCCCCTCTTTCACATCAGATCCACCGGCGAGGAGAAGCAGACTGAAGCCCCCCACGTCGCTGTCGGCTCATCAGGACTCAGCAGGTGTTGTTCTGCGCTGGTCCCTTCCTGAACCTCCCCTCACCGGCTTTGTGCTCCAATCGCGCACCGAGCAAGGGGAGTGGTTCAACTTGGACGAGGACGTCGGCGCCAACAGCAGCGAGATGGTGGTTCCGGGTCTGCACAAGGTAACAGCTTCCTCTGAGACTAATCAGTCCATACTGCTTGTCGAGTGAGATTTCCTCCCCCCACATACACCATCTACCTCCAATACTTTTGCAGACTCTCAATTATGCACACTACATGGCAGTCATCACTCTTCTGTCGTCCTGCTTCTTTTCATTCTCCCTTTTCCTCTCCTGTATAGGCCTACATGAATTCAAATGAGCTTCATTAGCATTGCGAGCACAGTCCCGTGTTGACAAAGTGTGGTTTCATCCTCTGTCCTCCCCGCTGTGTGTGTGTTTGTGTGCCGATGCCGGCTTCAGGACTGTGTGTACGAGCTGCGGCTGCTATCTCGTCGCGGGGAGTTGCTGAGCGAGCCCAGTCCATCAGTCAACGTCTCCACCATGGGTAGGTGTTCGAGAGCAACCTTGCCCCCTTTCACATCGTCGCCCCACCCTCTGTTTCAACCCATCCTCCCCTCTCGCTCTCCTTGTCTAACTCTTTTTTTTTTTTCTTCTTTCTATATTTCTTCTCCCCCCCGTCCCTCTGTTCCCAGCGTTAGACCAAAATTAGAGCACGGCCCTGGGGAACGCTGTCCATTAGAAGCCTGAATGATAGAAATAGCTCCACTAATAACCTCTCAAAAGAGTTAGCGATTGAATTTGCACTTTTCTGGTTCTTATGTGAATGTGACATGAATGTTGCATTAGATATAGTAGAGAGACGTCAAACTGAAGGTTCTGAAGGTCCCACTGGCATTCATCGAGCGCTGTCACAACAATTACAACTGTAGTTTTAATGTATTAGTTAAGAATGCTCTGCTGATAATCGCAGTTTGACATCTGACTTTATAAATTAGGCAAAACAGTCAAGTTTGTGATTTCTTGATGATGACGATGATTATCAGGCGTAAAGATGTGAGATTAGACTTAAAGGTGGTGACACCGAAAGTTTTAGCAATGTTAGAGATTCTTTGTTTGTGATCTGAATGAACAGGATATGAAATAAATTATTGGTATTTATTCAGTGCAAGTCAGTCATGATGAGATGATTGATAAGAAAATGATGTATATGTATAAATTATGTATATATTTTAGTTTGATGAAATTTCATA